CCTGCTCCTCTCTCCTCTCCATATCCTCCTTTCTCTTTCTTCCAGACTCCTGCTGCACCTGCTCCCTCCTTCTTCTTTTGCTGCTGCTGCTGCTGGACTCCTCCTCCTCCTGTCCTCCTCCTGTCCTTCTCTTCCTGTTTCTCTTTCATCTGCTACTCATCGTCTGTTGTGCAGGGGACGGACATGAACGAACGATCCTCCAGAAGCCACACAGTCTTCCAGGTCTGAACCCTCCCTGCACATCCTCCCCCTCCCCTTGTTTCTCTCCCTCTTCTCCCTCTGCCCCCCCTCCTCCCTCTCCTCTCTCGCCCCTCCTCCTTCCCCCTCCTCCCTACTCCCTCTTCTCTCTCGCTCCCCCTCCCTTCCTCCCTCCCTTCCTCCCTCTTCTCACTTTCTCCTCAGCTCCGCATCAACGCCAAGCACGAGCAGCGCGGGCAGACTCTTCGCGGCAGCCTCCACCTGGTCGACCTTGCGGGAAGCGAAAGGCTGGCGAAGTCGAACGCGACAGGTCGAGGAGGGGGAGGGAGAGGAGGAGGGGAGCAGCAGTAGGAGAAAAGCAGAAGAGGTTGGGAACAGAAGGATCAGGACGGGAAAGAAGACAGGAGGGAAGGAGTGAGGGAGGAGGAGGAGGAGGAGGAGGAGGAGGAGGACAAGAGCTGAAAGGAAGGGGCAGGGGATCGCCTCAAGGAGACTCAGAGCATCAATAAGTCGCTGAGTGCGCTAGGGGATGTGATGTCAGCCATCGCAAAGAAACAGGCGCATGTTCCCTACAGGTGCTCCTCCTCCTCCTCCTCCTCCTCCTCCTCCTCCTCCTCCTCCTCCTCCTCTTCCTCTTGCATCTTCCCCCCTCTTAGTTTTGGCCTTGTCTCACTGATACTTCGAGCAGAAACTCCAAGCTCACGTTCCTCCTTCAGCCTTGTCTGAGTGGCGACGGCAAAGCCCTGGTCTCCTCCTCCTGCTCCCCTCCTGCTCCTGCACCTCCTCTGTTGCTCCTCCTCCTCTCTCCTCTTCCTTTCCTCCTCGCCTCCTCCACCTGACGTCCAGCAGGTCATCTTGGCTGCTTCTCCCGTCGAGTCTTCAGCGCACGAGACTCTCTGCTCTCTCCGCTTCGGCAACCTCATAGCTCAGTGCGAGCTGGGCAAGGCAACGAGGCACGTGACGGGCCCGGCGATGACAGGCAAGAGGGAAGAGGAGGAGGAGAGAGAAGAGTGACTGGTAGACAGGGAACGTGGTCAAGAGCGCAGCTGGGCAGAACAATGACTCGAAGAAGAGGCGCCTTGGAACCTGAAGGAGAGGAGGAGGAGGAGGAGGAGGAGAAGGAGGAGGAGGAGGAGGAGACAAGTGATTGAGTTCCCTTCCACAAGACTAACAGCTTGGCCATGTACAATAAATGAATAAAGGCCCTCAGCAGAGCCCCAGCTCATCAGGTACCACCCCCCCAATAAACACCCTACCACCCCCAGTAACTTCCAGCCATTCCCCAGCTGACTTCCGAGGTCAGCTGAAGAGACCTCGAGAGAAGTACTCGGCGACTGTAGAGAATCTTTGCGCTTCCGAGGCCTTGTTGGCCTGCAGGAGAAGCTCAGGGGAGAGC